TGCTTAACGTGGTTACGAAGGACGGTGAGAATATAAGGCGAGAAAACCTAGAACCAAAAGGCAAAGGTGCATCGATATAGAAATTAAAAGTACAAGGTTTGTGGCTTTCATCCAAGTTATGTGTAGAAATGTACATGCATATGTACGAACTTGTTGCAATTGTTTAATTATTGGTTCACGTATGTATGCAGAGGTTAGCCGCAAAGAGCGTCACAATAGCCATGGAACCTCATTGCACATTTCATCCATGTGATGAAGCTGTGATTGCTACTAACGACGACGCTAGCGATTGTAAGCGATTTGCCGTTCGCTTGGGTTATTGGAAAGACGACTATATTGGATATTTTGTGCGCAATCAAGATCGAAAGGCACCTGAAATTAATCGCGGTTATTTTGCCCGAGTAAAAGGAGTTGAGATGTGTATAGAGAAGTTCCTCAAGGTAAGTGTCTAAAATCAGCTAGATTTTAATTTGAAAAGATACAGATATTAGTTGTGTTTTCGTATTCTCCAGCAAAAAATTACCAGTAACTTTCCAGTAACCAAATTTCGGAGAGTAAGCCAATATTTACTCCCAATGAGAGAAATATGCAAGAAAGTACGAAAACGCAAAACCAGCAAGAAGTTGCAAGTTTTATGAACAGCTGATTAATTTGTTATTTTCCGACGCAATTTTCTAAGAAAAATAGTATTTCCCATCTTAATATATATTTAAATAGGTTTATTTTGTCATTTGCAACTCTAAAAGCACCACAAAATTCTTTTGGTAGTGTGAATTGCATTCATTGCAGCATCATGCCATCAGCTGTTTTTCTTACTAGTAAAAATTTATCTAGTAAAAATCCAGTAAAACTTGCAAGTTTAGCTGTCATTTTTGCTCTCTCAATTCTCCCCTTTTGCTGGTTTCTTGCAAGTTTTTGCTTACGAAAACGCCTTCTACTAAAAACCAGTAAAATTAGTGCTGGATTTTACTGGATAGTGTGTACGCGAACAGAACTTTTTACATGCTTGGCCCGATTATAGCTGAAACAATACCGGCGTACAGCAAGCTTCCTCGAATTGGGCGAAGCTGTCGTTCACCGTTCGCCCAAGCGTCAGGGCTGCCAACCATACTTAGCAATGAAGTGCCATATTGAGCACAAAAAAGTGCCAAAATGTGCCAAATAGACAAAAAAAGGGTCAAAAAGGTGCCATTATTTTTAATTCTTCCCATTTAGCATTGATATTAGAAACACATTCTTAAAACAATAGTCCAATGCCGAAGTAAGATAAACCAGTTGTATACGCTATAAAAATTAGACAATTTTAGTTGAGAAAAATAAGTACACGCAAAGGATTTCACAAAAATGTATTTAAATATTACTATTTTGGAAAAGTGCCATTTTGGCACTTCGCGCCAAATTGAAAAATTAAGTGCCATTTGAAGTAAAATATGGCTCAAAATGGCACGGTTTGAGCCAAGTTTGCAGCCCTGCCCAGCGTTGCCGAAAGCTTTCTCTGAAAAATTGTGAATTTACCCATAAAAAAAGTTAAAATTTTATTTATCCCCCTATTATGAATTTTCATATGAAAGACGAAAGACGATAACGCTTGCAAGCGTGTCGTATAAATATAGATTTTGTATTATAGGCCCTTAATATCAGTTGCATTTGGCTATCGAAGATCGAAAGTGAAATTTGTATTATGCGCTATGCAAGCGTGTCGAAATTTTCGTTGAGTATCGAATTTTCTGTCAGAAAATTGTGAACAATTATGATTTTGCATTTGTTTTCTTACCTTTTGGCGGCTAGACACCAATTTGGAAAATTTTTTATTAATTTGATGCAGTTCTCCAGATGCTCCTGGCCAGTTTTCTAAGCTCTCATCCTCTGACGAATCGTTCAACCAGAACTCCGCTGTACTCATTTTTACCACGATTTTATAAACTCGCTTTCTTTTATATTTCGTTTTTGTTTGCACAAATTTGCATAAATATGTATAGGCACACTATTTATTTATTGCATCATGAACCACATTTCCTTCAACTTCAATTGTGTTTTATATAAATTCAAATTGATAAAACTCGCATAGAGGATACAGTAAGAAGGCAATTGACAGATGCTTCCAATCCTCTGGAGAAGAACTCGATAATGTAAGTAACTTAATAAGTTTTATTTGTTAATTATTAAAAACAATTCTTTAGATTCCAGAGAAACTTTCGACTTTTGTATGCTGTTACAACAACAACCGTTCCCACGACAGTCGGGTCTACGTAACCGGAACGACCCAGATAGATATATATCTGGCCAAGGACTGCCACCACTCCAGCAACACTCCCCAAAATCTCTTTGGGGAATTTGTATGCTGTTACAACAACAACAACTTTCGAAAGAAGCTGTTAAATATGTTCTAACAGAAGTAGAGAAGGAGCCAGGGATCATACCAACAGAGTGTTGCAACGAGGCGTTATTGGATTACCCCAACCTAAGGTTTCTACTGTGTTTATATGTACGCTCATATTCATTCCCATGACTCAGGTTTTACCCGACCAAGGGCTGTTGTTTCGGCGACCTAACAGCGCATAGATCGGCGATACCCTTCAATAATTTTTCGTCCATGGAGCAACTCCTTGCAGCCGGTTTGCTCCGCATCCTTCTTCTCCGGGTGGGCGTTGAGCCCAACCCCGGACCAGAAACATATTTCTGGTGTGTTTGCCAGAATCGATTCCATCCGAACACCACTTCGGTTAGGTGCAACTCATGCAACGGATGGAGTCACCCAAGAACCTGCTCTGGGCTTGGGTCTCACGGAGAGTGGGTCACAAGCTATGTGGCTCCCTGCTGCACAAGCCAACGCAAAATGCTCCCAACACTCGAAGAGCCTACACGGCTCCTAGGAGCTCCCCTGGGCAGCAGCAAACCTCCCAACGGACTCCAGAGCAAGATTGAGGAGTATTGTTGTCTTTATGGGTCGGCATGGCATATTGATAGCTGCGGTCCAAAAACGAAGTTGCAGAGCAACTCAACTCTGTTAGGTTGCGCCGCCTACAATGTGCTCCGTAAAGATCGCGAGCGGATTAGCGTTCATCATACAACACACAGTGCAGTATCGGCTTATCGAAGAAGACATCGACCCGAGGGACACCACCCTAGAATGTCAGGGCATAGCTGTCCAGTCAGGCGATGTCGAGCTCGAAATATTTAACGTCCACGATTGAGATAAATAGAGATTGTGTCGATCGCGGTACCTCTAATCCAGAGGTGGGCATTTTTTGATTTGTAATTGGGCTTCAAAATGCTGCTTGCTGCGACGTCGACACATGTATACTATCATCGTCTTCGTGCGTCTTACGATAATTGACGATTGACTGATGCTTCGCTGGTATTTCGGCAAAGCAAATCAAATCAGTTGCTGTTGAGAGTGTTCGGATGGACAAAGTTTTCTTAGTGGTAAATAAGCATGAAAAATTGTGGTACATTCCAAAACAATGTGGTACATTCAAATAAATAAATTTATAAATATGTTATATGCACTTATGGTCAGCTGATTAAGTTAAGTGACATTTTGACCAGCTTTGGCTAATTACATTTTTTGTTTATTTATTGTTTATCTTTTTTTTTGCTGACGGTGCTAGGCATTTTCTTCCATATAAAGAAATTGCCAATCATTAAAAACCAACACGATTTTTAGCGCTTGAAATTTGCACTTTTAGCTACTAAATTTTAATGGGCTATAAAACTGCATACCTAAAACTTTTCTAGAAATTCTAAATAAAAAGCCACAGCGACAGAATAAGATGCCTTTTTTTTAGAAATGATCTATCATTTTCTGATAGAGAATGATTTTCTGATAGACATTGATAATTTTCGTGTTGATGTATATTACTTTCACCAACCCTAAATTTAATAAAGAACGCTGCTTTTAATTCTAAAAGCTTCTTCGATCACCCTCTTTCACCTTTTTAAAATGACTATGACACAGTTTGTTTTGTCTTTTTAAACAAGACATAACATTGCGACTCATAACGCGAAAGCAAATCACGCATTGCGCATACCAATCCATGTTTTCTATGCAAAAAAAATGTATTTCCCATTCCTCCCGAAACATTTTATGTGTGCATTATTCGAATCTCAGTATATCCAGTAAACAAACTTAGCTATTTTTTTCACCAAGTTTGGTCCCCATAAAGGACTAGTGTTGCAAGCAACGCTTTTTCGGCAATTAGGGTGTTGTGCAGCTATTTATTGTGGTGAAAATTATTTAAGCACTGGAGAGATTTATTCACATGGAATTGGAGATAGGGCTGATAGATTTATTTTAAATAAATTGTGAATCTGCGACAATATCTTTTCAGCAGATGAATATACTTTTTAACCTTTCTCCCGAAAATTTACATACAGGCTCGAAAATATGTAAGTAACATTCAAATATCGTCGCTTGGATCGAAAATTGGCGGAAGCGTCATTTTGACAATTTGTGGTTTTTGGATATCTTCTTTAGTTTCCGAGTAATTGACTAAAATGTTTCCGGTTATTTGGTACAAATTGCGTTAGTATTGCTGTCGTACTAAACTAATCAAAATCTTTCAAATAGAGTTATCTGTTCTTCTTTAGTTTCCGACATATTCAGCTTTATCATGAGTTTCATTTTCTAGAACCGGGTCAATTTTTACTTTTCGTTTGCGTGTATTCACTACAGGTGGATGAAAAAACTGTTGGCGAAATTTGGTTCGGGCGAAACTCACGATTAGGCTGATTAGTAAAAAGTATCGTTAATTTATAAAAATTGTTATCACATTTGGGAGTATATCATTGAAACTGACTGCAAATTTTTTGACAAGTATCGTATTCGACAAAAATGTATTAAACTCATAAATGGTTGACACTAAACTAAAAAAATAAAACAATTTAAGAATTTCATGAACTAGTACATAGCATTCTCCGACACTTTGGAGAAAATCTGTAGTCTAGTTCCTGAGAAATTGCATTCCAAACTTCAATTGTGAGTTACCGAAAGTAACTTGTGACAATCTTTTATCCAGGCGACGATATAATATTTACCTAAAATATGCGTCTAAATAGATTATAATTGTCATTAATTTCGCAGTTGGAGTATATGCCAGACGAGTAACAGGTATACAAGTATACCTAAATTAGCGCTTGAGCTTGTATATTTATCTCTCTCTAACTCATTAATTCTATATACGTCAGCACCAACGCCCGACAAAGTTATGTCTGTATTTAATAATGGCCCTATGACAAAATATTCATGAAATGTATTCGTAGATTTTTATTTACTTTCATTTCATATATTAGTATTGAGATGAATGATTTTTACTAAATACCAGGAATAAATATTTAATAAAAAACTATTTCATTTAAGCTTAACCAACTTTTAGTTGCTCAGAGCTAATTTTGGAACGCTTCATGAAATATTTTCATAGACAGTAAATGCAACCCTGGG